TGTCCTAGTATGAAGCGTTGAAATTCTATTGAAAGGGTCATGAGACACCTTAAAAGAACAGAAAAAACCTTGGTATTTGTTATCAATGGTTTTGCTGTATTGGTAGGGTATAGTGATGCGGATTAGAATACCCTATAGAGGACTTCAAGACAACAAGAGGCTGTGTTTTAAACATCGATAGAGAAGCTATGTCTTGGAAGTCTAAGAAGTAAACGATCCTGGCTCAATCAACTAAGAAATCAGAAATGATAGAACTAGCAATGGCTAGTAAAGAGGAAAGTTGATTGAGAGGGTCACTACTAGAGATTCCCTTATGGGAAAGACCGATCCCTCCGGTAGTTGATTCATTGTGATAGCACCGCAGCTATTACTAAAGAAGGGAACCGGTTCTAGAACGAAAAGAGACGACAAATTCGTCGTAAGCACAGTACTGTAAGAGAACTCCTAACGATAGGAGCAATGAGGGTGGATCCTGTAAGGTCCTAACAGAATCTAGCTGATCCTTTGACGAAAGGATTATCTAGAGAGAAAGTCCAAAGTACCGCCAAGGGTATGAGACTTATGCCTACCGAACCACGGACTACAAGTGATGGTAACCCGACCCAATAGACTGGAGATCCCAAGAAATGGGTTCAATGGGTAATAACAAGTCATGAGTAGTATGCGAAAAGTTCATGCATAGTGAAGCATGAATCCCAAAGCAATGGAGGTTGAGTTAACAACTCTTAATGAGATCTATACCCTATGTGGGGTGGAGTACTTTACTTTGGGGGTACTTCTGATAGACTCACCTATGTGAATGTGGGAGTGGGGCCGCTCCCTATGGAACTTTGGAGGCACAAAGTTGCTAGAGCTTTCACTAAACCGGGATAACGTGCATGGCCATAAACGCACGGCCTATGAGAGAATATCACTCAATGAAAGATCCGGTGTGCTACATTGTCTGAGATAGGGTTCAAGACTACGAGTCACCCTTATGAAATCGGAAGTGTAACCACTACGCTAAGGTTCAAATCTTCGCGATACCTTAGCTTATGCCCGATCTTATGGAACTGTTGATGCTCAGAGATAGTTTCAAAACTATTCAAGTGGGGGATTGTTGGGATGAATAGCTTTGAAAAGCTATATATGAAATTCCTAATTAATTATCCAGTATTTTTCCATAATACATAAATAAGATGGATAATTAATAAAAGGAATATTATGGAGATAATTAGGAATAATTATCTTAATAGATTATATTTTAATTATGGGAGTAATTATCTCCCTAATTAAAATATGACTTATTCCCAAAAAAAGAGGGAATATTCTGGGTTTTCTGCTCCTATAAATAGGAGACACCCCAAACCCTCTAAATACACCTCAGAGAGCAGAAACACGAGATAGAAAGTGAGTTCATAGAGCTCCGGTTTTCGCACAAAACCGATGAGCAAATCATTAGATTGGCTGTTTTATCCTGGAGGCGACCGGCTGATAGTCTGCTGTGCGAATAACGAGGCAGTGCCGCGAACGTCTTAAAGAGAGCGACCTAGTCCGCGACTCAGCCAGATCGGTAACCCTAAATTTTCTGTTCGGTTTCTAACAGAATTACGTCTAGATTTGGGTTACCCTAGTAAGGGGGGAATCATAGATAGGCTATTGCATTGGTTAATTGGATTTAGATTAGAGAGAAGATCAAATCTAGGTTTAATCGACTAATAGAGTATTAATATGTGAGAAGATCGGGTTAACACACTATATTGGTTTTACCTTAGTAATATGCGCGCACTTTAAACATTGTTGTCTTTCCTTTATTACTAGTTAAGCTTCTTAATTGAAACAATCACTAAAGGAACAGTTAAGTAATAGAAAAGATAATCAAGTACTAGTAGTGATAGTTTGTATCGATCTGACCTTTCGGAGCATGTGGTCGAAGGGTTGTGGGATTAATAAGTGAAAGGGAAATAACTCCACATAGGAGTGTTAGTTCGGGTCGGGTTCGGTTATCCAAACCGAAACTCGAAAAGACCCAGAAACCCGAAACCAAAATAAATGGAAACCAAATTCGAACCCGATAAAGACTTTTGGTTTCCGGTTACCCGAAACTCGAAAAATTCTTATCGGGTTCGGGTACGGTTAAAGCAAAACTAAAACCCGAACGCCTAAGAATACGGGTTGAGTTCGATTCCTTGTAGGTTTTCAGACGAACCAGAAAACGCGATAAGCAAAATCGAACCTGAAATCAAAAACTCGAAATCCGAAACAAACCCAAACCCAAAAAATCGAAATTATATCTAATCGGGTCGGTTTCGGGTAAAGCCGAAAAAACGAACCCGAATGGACATCCCTAACTCCACAACACAACATAGCAGGATGAAGTGATACGGATACATGTTAGCAATATATATATTTAGGATAATAATAATTAATAGTGTTAGGCTTATTAGAAGGGTTAGGCGGATAGGGTGGCCGAGTAGATTAGGGTTAATTGTTAGGGTTTTGGGTTTATTTCCTATAAATATGTACTTTGGCTTTATATCATAATCAATCAAGAAAAGTATTGACCAAAGTATCCTTCTAAACCTAATTTCTCTCAACTCCTAATTTCTATTCTCTCCTAATCCAAGGCCTCGGCCGATTCCCAATTCTATTTCGTTCTTTCACATCCAAATCCCTAATTCCTAATCTCAACCCTAAATCCCTAATCGTCACGAGTAGTTGCGGGTGCCGAAGATTAGTTCCTAGAATCCTTAAAAGCGGGGTTCTTTTAGTGGTATCAGAGCCTGGTTGAGGCACTCGTACCGGAGCCATGTCGAGATTCGAAAGGTCTCAATCAGCGAACTCACAAAGATTCTGAAGCTGAAGCTGTAAGAGGTAAAGAGGGACAAGGTAACCTCGTCCTCGCTGCTGTCCGGGGAAGTCCGGCAGGTTGCTCCACCCAAAGCCACAGCAACCGCGTTGTGTTACAGCCCGCTCTTCCCAAAAGTCAAAATAACTATTATACCCCTGGGTCCAGTTCCGCTGTATAATCGATGAGGACGAAAAATGTGAACTATCGGTTCAAGCGGTGTCGAATTTCGACATAAATTGAGAAAGTTACAGACATTAATTGAGTTTCGGATTAAACTCGCCCGCAAGTGTGAATTTGCACAAATACCCTTGGACTAATTAAAACCCTAGAGCCTAGCCTTAACCTACCCGGCAGCACCCAAACAAAATAAACCCTCGCAGCTCTCAGGAAAAATCAACTGGCGCGGTAAGGTGTGGAGGACGAGGCTTCAATGGACGAGTGCTAGGCGCGGTAAGGAGACAGGTGTAGACAATGGACGCAAGCTGGCTGCTTTCACCCCCGAGACCTGCTTGTTTGGGTGACGTAAGGACGAGTGTGATGGGTCTCTCTATTACGCCAGCTGCCTGCTTAAGCAAGCAGGAGACGGTGTGGTGAAAAGAACTGCTCGGGAAGGAGACCTGCAGGAGACGGTGTGGTGAAAAGGACTGCTCGGGAGGAGACCTGCCTAGCGATAACGGCAGGGTGGTGAGTGTTGGGCCTCCCTACAGCGTCAGCTGCCTGGAGAAAGCAGGAGAGCAGGCTGGGGAAAGCAATTGGGGAGATTGAGGCTTGGGATACAGGAGATGATTGGTCTCTTAGCTTAAGCAATGCTTTCGCTGGGAAACTAAAATCAAAGGCCTCAAGCAAGCAGGACCATTATTCAAGCAAGCACGAGCCGACTCAGCAGGTTGGCGATTCAACAGGAGATTGGTTATAAGCAGGCAGGAGGAAGCCATTATTAAGCAGACATGAGGCGGCACCTAGCCAAGCATGTGGTGTCGGCAAAGTAGGGCAAAAGCGCATAATCAAGCCAGTTCCGATGGAAGTAAGGTGTGTGTAAAGGGGGTAAATTCTACGCATTACGTGTTCTTTCAAGAGTTTCAAGTCTTGAGTATTTTGATTGAAGTGAATGTCGTTGTTTGATTGTGCTTATGCTTGATGATATGTGATTTTGTTTGAGCTATGCTTGATGTGAATGTGCATGAGTTCTTATTTAAATTTAAGCTTTAAGTTTATAAGTTATTGTTGAAGTTAAGAAACAAGATCTTTTTAAGAAGTAACTCACCTTCAAGAAGGTGAAGTCGTTTTAAGTATTTTTAGTCACTAGCGCTAGTCCGTTGCCTTTTGAGACAGTTTCAGATAGAGCAGCAGTTATGCTCTTGAGATTTTAAGATGGGCAGCAGTTATTCCCTTGAGAATCGTGGTGAAGAGCCACCACGATAAGTTTAAGATGTTAGGAGGATGAATCGTTACGACTTTCCTAACTAAGTTTAAGTTTAAGGATAGCCTTGATGGCTTTTCATACGTATGAGTTGGCAACCGGACTAGCTAGTGGGGGATCCCAGTGTCAGTCAAGTATTTAAGTTGAGATTTAAGCTTTAAGAGTGGAGAGTAACAGCTACTCCCATACAGTTTTAAGAGTTAAGATTGTTAAGAATGGAAGTACAAACAACTTCCCTTAGTTTGAGTTTAAGTGTTTGAGAAGAAGTGCAAAATTATTAGAAAGTTAAAACGTAAGGGCGTAGACTGACCCCAACTCACTCACCAGGCCTTAGTAAGGGAATGAGCGAGAACCAGATCGGTAGCAGCTAGCTAGAGGAGCAGTTAGAGAGCAGCGAGTTCGAGAGGAAAAGTTCGAGGGCAACCAGCTAGAGGAGGCAAATGCAAGCGTCACGGAGGTTGCCTAGTTAGGACTTTCAGTAGCAACAGCTTCAGAGTTCATTAGTTAATTACATTTATGATTATGAGTACAGACTGGAGATTATTTTGAGATCAGTTTGAGATTTTAAAGTTTGAGTTTAATTTGCCCACGTGTTAGGGTTTTGCTCTGAGCTACAAGTATGAGTTTTCGGTATTTTATTTATGAAATTTTTCCCCGCTGAAATTTAAGATTTGAGTATTTTATTTATCAAGCGCATTTTAGTAAAAGTAGTACCCGGCCAGGTTAGGGTGTTTCACGTCGATAGAGCCAATGTTGGCAACCGAGAAAGCAAGGGCAGCAACAGCTGTCTTCTCCGCAATGACACCATCTGCGGTAGCCGTTCCTCCACCAGTCGAGGCAAAGGCTAATATCGCAGAGCCACCAGCCACGAAAGAAGTTTCCACACCACCAACAGCTGTCGCGACTCAAGCACAACCACCACCGTCTGCTACCGTTGAAGTTGCCGCTAGCTTGCTCAAGAAGAAGAAGATGAATGAGGCCGTCGCATCTGTCCATGTCCTCGAAATGGCGATAGCACCCGCCTCCGTAGAAGAACTACAGACGGATGGTATGGAGGAGAGGGTAATGCGTGGTCTCGCCAAGAATTGGCGATTCCGGAAGAAGAGGAGCACGAGAGCTCTCCTCCCAGCGAACGTCGACGCGGCGGGGACGGCTAGGAACTCGGAGACCAGGATCGACGGGGAAGCCACATCGAGCAGAGCCCCCAGTCGCTATCTTTCTTGACGACCGAGAACCAGTGGGCGAGGAACCAGAAAAATCAGTGGGTACGAGCCTAGCGCGGCTCCGACGCCGATAGGCGAGATATGGCGAGGGCGAAGAGGAGATTCGCTGGATTGGGGCCGCCGGCTCCAACCATGGCGTCCAACGAAGAGGAGGCAGAGCTAGAGTCAAGCATCACCGGTGGGGATTGCTCGCCAAAGAGGAAAGGAGCGACGAATCTAAGGGGTCCGCCGGAGATGGAATCGAAGAAGACGAGCGACTATTTCGGCGGGACTCCAACTGACGAGAAGGAGGTGCTGAAAATGATGGTGGGGTCGTACTGTCCTGATCGTCGGAGGAGGAATCATTCGTCGGAGGAGCCAGAAGCGCCGTGGAAGAAGGCGGAGAAGTGCAGCGCGCGGGAGGAGGACGCGCGATTGACGGTGGCGGCTTCGGTGATTGAGGATGCGTCGTCAAGAACGAACAACGCGGCTTCAGTGAATGACCTAACGCGGGAGCAAGACGCGAAGTCAGAAATGCGACTTGAGGAGCTCGGATTGCCGTGCCATCGGCTTGGCGAGTCTTTGATGGAAGTCGAGCCGCCGCAGGTGTACGAGGCGGAGTGAAAGACAGCGGTCGCGTTGGGTGGTTCGCCGGTGAGAGAGGAGAAGCCGGACCGGGAGAACAGCGGCGGATTAGCGCCTCCAGTAACCCTAGGTCGCACCTCCAAGCGGCCAGAACAAATGAGCCGAGAGGTGGTTCGGGTCGCTGGGTTGGTTGGGCCAAGGTGTTTAGGCCGCAGACTGGAAAAAGAAAGGAGACCGGCTGGGTTCATCTTGGGCCGGATCACTTGGGTCATTGGTCTAGTTGAGTTAGAAGAAAGCATGTCGAGTCAAGAGGGAGTTGGGCCACGAATTTACTCTTTATTTGGATCAGTTTTGCAGAAAAAGAGTGAGGCCAATGTGGGTGGTGTGTTCAAGAAGATGGAGTTAGCAAGTGGGCTTTTCAAGAAGCCAAGCCCAAACGAAAAAGAAGAGAAGAAGAGCACAATATGGCTTAATATTGGTTTGGGCTCTAACTCTTTTTTCAAAGTAGATATGGGTCTAGTTCAATGTGAAGGAAAAGATGATTGGGCAAGGCTATGGGTTGTTTATACCATCAAGCGCGAAGCGGTATCAATGGAGCAATCAATTGAATATTTATAGGTGGTTAATGATGAGCAGAAGGAAGAACTATTCTCGGACTCTTATTTTATGGACTTCGAAAGAAAGGACGAAGAATTGTTCGACTATGAAGAACGTGACACATGTCACGTGGGTGGAGGAGAGTCGAGGAAAGTTGGGGTTACGCGAGAAGAGTTTATTCATGGAATTGAGCGCAACTGGAAACGTAGAAAGCGGAAGATCAAGAAGACGGAAGTTGACTGCAACCTTGAGGACAAGGTCTATTTCAAGGAGCGTGGAATGTTAGCAATATATATATATATATATTTAAAATAATAATAATAATTAATAGTGTTAGGCTTATTAGAAGGGTTAGGCGGCTAGGGTGGCCGAGTAGATTAGGGTTAATTGTTAGGGTTTTGGGTTTATTTCCTATAAATATGTACTTTGGGTTTACGTCATAATCAATCAAGAAAACTATTGAGCAAAGTATCCTTCTAAACCCAATTCCTCTCAACTCCTAATTTCTATTCTCTCCTAATCCAAGGCCTCGACCGATTCCCAATTCAATTTTGTTCTTTCTCATCTCAATCCCTAATTCCTAATATGAACCCTAAATCGCTAATCGTCACGAGTAGTTGCGGGTGCCGAAGATCAGTTTCTAGAATCCCTAGAAGCGGGGTTCTTTTAGTACACTTCATCAATATCCTTAGTACCAAGAAAGAGTGGATAGTATCCATTTATGAACGTTAATCGAGGAATAGTCGATCTTATATTTTCAATTTGTGGTCGTCATAACAAAAGTTTAAGTGACCCAAAACAATCTTCCCTTTCATTCCCAATCCATCATCTATTGTGAGCATGACAACACTAATCCCACTGAATGATATACCCTACATACTCTGTGAAATACAAGGCAAGTCATAGAAACCTATTTCTAAGGTTCTATCGATAAGATTGGGAATTTGGAGATTGATGGAGATTTAGGGATTTAGAAGAGAATTTGAAGATCAGGAATAGAATTGGGGAAGAACAAGAACAGAATGGCCGGCGGCCAGAATAGGTTGAGTAGAGAGTTTGAGAGGATTATGAGAGATTAGGGTTGAGAGTGATACTTTGATAATTCTTTTTTTTATTCCAAACTTCTTCTTTCGAAACTTCCACCCATCAGTCGGTGGATTTGTCGGGGATTCCTTCTGAGAGAAGCACTTAGCGGCTTCTCCGATCCCTATGATGTCGTTCGTTGTAGAGGAGTGCTCGCCCTCAACTACGGCAGTCGGTGAATTTTTTGTTGTAACTTGTATTAATTATATATTTTCTAATTTAAAATTATTTAATTTTTGAAAGAGGACACCCTTATATAAATTTCCTGGCTCTGGCATGAAGGCGCAGAAATTGATCCATTTATCCGGGTTGTTGGGGGGACTGGATTGCCAATCTTTCGTGGAACATCCGAACATGTTCCAGCCTAAGTTCTTTGGGGATCTTGATTCTTGATCCAGTTGGTAAGATGGGTGTCTTCATGTGTGTATAGACCAACGGTGGAAATCGAGATCTAATAAGCTAATGAAACGATTTCTAGGAGACATGCTATGCACCTAGTAAGGTAAACAATTGGTAAGGAAATTGACTTCATGTATACGAAATAGTAACCTCTCTGGCATGAGCTACTAACGAACAAAATGAGTAAATTAGGCTCGCATGTTGGTTTGCCATTGGTCCGCTGATTTACTGAGTTTGTAATCACAGTTTGGTAGCCAGTCAAAGGATTTAATTGTCCTAGACCTAATCAAATTTCCTTTCAACGTAACTAGACCAATCCACTTTATACACAATAATATTATCTCATGAGTGGCCGTCATTCGAGGATAGGTCTATTGTTATATATATCTCTGGAGAACCAGGGGAAGCCGGCTCTACACAATTCCGTCAGCCAAACAGATCCCATACTTGTGGCTAAGAGGAAAACGAGGATTCAGGAAAAGATATTATTTTGGATTTTATTACATTTATTATGAGTATTTAATAGAGGGAAAAATCTCACATGCCACAAGTAGTGACTCATATATTTCGAACCCTTCTATAACTGTTGCAGACACATTACCCCATTCCATTTCCCATCAGTAGTCTCCTCCAAGTCGCCAATAATGCAAGAGATGCATAATTCATCCATTTATCTGTACGTTTGTGTTCCCGTATGCTGAGATGACTCCTCCTTTTGCAAATGTTTGTAGGACGTAATTTGGTAGTGATAATTACCTATTCCAAGTCAAAGCCCCTTCTCCCCTCAAAGAAACCTGATCATTTATTGATTTAGAACATGGCATCCATTTCGGCCAACTCTGAAGCTGATCGACTGGCGCAGCTAAAGGCCTTCGACGCAACCAAAGCCGGTGTCAAAGGGCTGGCAGATGCTGGAGTGAAAGAAATCCCTCCAATATTCCACACGCCGCCTGATATCATGGACAGCAACAAATCAAGTGATGACAAGAAGTTCACCTTCCCCGTCATTGACCTCCAAGGCACGGCCACAGATCTTGCCAAGCAGAAGGAAATCGTCGAGAAAGTTCGAGATGCTTCCTCCACTTGGGGGTTTTTCCAGGTCCTTAACCATGGAGTTCCACTCAACGTTCTGGAGGAGATGAAAGCCGGAGTCAAGAGGTTCTACGAGCAAGATCTCGACGAGAAGACTAAGTTCTTCACACGTGACTACAGTACTAGAAAGGTTGCTTACAACAGCAACTATGACTTGTACACCGCGCCGTTCACTAATTGGAGAGACACCACCCTCTTCTACATGGCTCCAGATCCTCCCAAGCCCGACGAACTCCCTGTTGCTAACAGGTATGATTTCGATAGTGATATAAGATTCAATCGACGGTAGAAGAAAAAAAAAATAGTCCAGTTGGTAAGAGATGATGGTTTGTACGATTTGCTACGAACATTTTGAGCAACAACTTCAAACTATATACAGGGAAATCCTGATGGAGTATTCCAAGGAGATGGTTAAGATGGGCTACGTGATCTTTGAGCTGCTCTCGGAGGCTCTAGGACTTGACCCAAATTACCTGAGAAATAAGGATTGCTTGATGGGACATTACTTGGTGTGTCATTATTACCCACCTTGTCCTCAGCCTGATCGCACTTTGGGGTCAAGCAAGCACACAGACACTGATTTCATCACCATTCTCCTACAAGATCAAGTTGGGGGGCTCCAGGTGCTCCATCAGGATCAATGGGTTGACATAACTCCACTACCGGGGTCCTTGGTTATCAACATCGGAGATTTACTTCAGGTAATTAAGACTCTTTCTTGTGTTTCGATACATACAGGTTGTTGTCAGGAAATCCCATGCGCTAGCTCATGTTATATATGCTGTTGATTTTTCAGCTCATGTCCAATGATAAGTTCAAGAGCGTGAAGCATAGGGTGCTAGCAAATCGTAGCAACGGACCAAGGATATCGGTGGCGTGCTTTTTTAGCACCGGCCTTTTGCCAAACCCAACAAAATATGAACCTATTGTGGAGCTGCTATCTGAAGACAATCCTCCCAAATACAGAGGGACCACAATTTCAGAGTATTTGATGTCTGCAAAGACCAGCAAAGGACTCGATGGGGAGTAGCTTCTTCATGAGTATGTACAACTTGACACAACAAGGAAATAATATGGGGATCCAGTGTGACAATGTAATCGAGTTGCAGCTGAAATTTATACCTGGTCCCTTAAATAATGAAGTTTAATAAATAAATAAATAATTTTGTACCCAATGGAGCATTTATAGGGTTAATTGCATATATAGGATGTCACTTGTGTATTGTTGAACTTTTTTAAGTTGTATTACGCTATTGTAACCACTTTGAATAAATATTCGTGGTCTCTTGTGTATTAGTTAGCAATCATTTATTTAATAATTGCATAATATCTGTATGATTTAGAACTCTTGTTCTCCTATTATTACAAAATCATTCGTTGTTAATTTGATGGTATTTGATGTTTAGGGGAATTCAATTGATAAATCAAACAATTTTTATTTATTTAAAATTCAAAATATTTTCTAAATGATTTTGAAATTTTAAAAGTAGTGTTATGTTAAAATGGTTGTATAAAACCTCATATGTATTAAAACTGCAACATCACAAGTTTTTTAAAGAAGACCACAAGTTTTTTGAAGCATGCCAGAAACAACATATAACATTACAAAAAGATCATTAAAGCATATCAGAATCTAATAAAGCATATCGCAACTTTCGTAAAGTAAACCAGAAACCTCATAAGTAGATCACAAGTTCCATGAAACAAACGAGAAACCGCTTTTCTCTACAACGGTGATGCATCACCGCCTTCCTCTGCAACGATGATGCAATCACCGCTCTTCTCTCCTGCGGTGATGCAATCACCGCTTTTCTTTGCCGCGGTGATGGCCCAAACTTGCGTAGATTGGGAATTTTTTCATAACGTATGTATTTTGAGAAATTCTTTTAAAAACATATGTATTTTGAGATTTTTCCCCATCAAATTGTGCGTGCGTTCTAAGCCATATCTCTTCTTCTACTAGATACCATTGGCGTCCGATACCATAGGCGTCCGTCCAAATGCATATTATCATCCTTGTTTAGCAATGTGGATCTTAACGATTCAAATTCGACCCTCAAACTCATTACGAACTGAAGCAATCAATTTTGTTGTCATTCTTGTAGAACGTCTACCAACACGGCTTCCGAACGAAAGTAAGGCTTGTAACAAGTCTTGTTCCATCCAGGGCTCTTGAGAAGCATTAAAATACTATGTGATCAAACGATCACCTTGCTCCTAGCGCTCCAACGACATCAGAACTTCGAATTACTGCAACATTCACAGTCGAGTATGTAGAAGCAAGATGCTTCCACATACTCAAAGAGACATAGAAGAAAAAATAAAGAATGAACACGCATATTTAACGTGGTACCCCTAAAACTCCATAACTAATTTCTATTCTCTTTCATCGTCTACATTTGGGATTTCCATGGCACGGAAATATTGACTCTGTAGTCTAAATAGTAAGGACGTTTTCTTTCAGCTTTTTCTCTCCAAATGAGCGTTCACTTCGCCTTTGAAGGGCTTTTAAGTTTAATCAATACTATATAGCATAGTAAAAGTGCCTCAACCATAACATATCAAAAGTGAGACTCGTCGTGATTCAATATTCTGCATCGATAGAGGATAGAGAAACGATCTTTTTATTTTGTTCAACTACTTCCAGCTAATGAGTGAAAATTAGGGAAATAAGAAAATAGGCAAGATATTCATGAAAAGTAAGGGAAATAAGGCAACTTTTTGAGTTTTTTTAAATGTTAAAAAACATACATCTATCAGACTACTAGCGTGGGCCCATCCATTTGGCCGGAGGAAGGTGAGGTATGAAATTTGATAATGTATTGTGGTCTATAGCTTATTGTTGTATAGTTTTTTTTGGGAAACACGTGATAAAAATAGTGAATTTTAGTAGGAAAGAGACATGAATGATGCAACGAATCAAAAATCAACCTTATGAACCAAAATCAAGTACATGTTATCTTGTGAAACAATATTGTTTCTGGTAATATGATGAGGTGGAGTAAGTTTCATAGAAACCGAATTCCAGAAATTCGAATAAAAAATCGACACTCCTGGACCCGTTTAAATCCACATGTGTACGGTAAGTTGGCCCGTTCCATAGAGGAAAAAGAAAAAAAATTGACACTCTCTATTCTACCTTTCCTACAAACGCTCCTGGATCAGAGAATTTGAAATGGGGGAAGGGTTTTTTCCTCTATGCGATTATATGTTTTTAATTTAAAAAAAAATACAACCACTTTACTTAGTGTGATTGGTTATGATCTTTTCTTTTCTTTAAAGTGGTCATGGTTCGAATCCTAGTAAGTGTCTTTTTAATGAATAAAAAAATGTAATTGTGAAGACCAAAATGGCCTTCCTACTTTCACTCTGGATGCAGGAAATTTGAAATGGAGCTTCATGTTTTCTCATTTGGCTTTTATTTATTGTGTAGATCAGCTATTTCAAAAAATTAATAAGCGATAATAATGAGAAGTGGTCCGGTAAATTTTTTTCTTTTTGTAATTTTTTTTAGATTAATAGCATTTTTTTACCTTTATACGGTTGCAAATTAAAAAACATACATAACTATTATTTTTTTGCACAAATTTATTTTTATATTATTACAATGTAACAAATGTACTCTTCGGTTCAAAATTTCATTAATTGACCATTAAACAAGACATAAAATGACCAACAAACATACAAACTACTATTTCTCTTCTATAGTAAACTATGTTATATCTATGTGTGATATCTCATTTTCCATTTATATGATATTTTACTTATTCAATGAACCCTGGTTAATCGTAGATTTCTCCATTGGACTAATATGCAACCTCCAGATTATCGCCCTATTAGTCTATGTCGAGTTTTGTAAAAAATCCTGGCAAAAGTTCTCGCAAACAGACTCAAGAGGATCCTAGATGACATCCTAGTGGAAATGCAAATCGGTTTTGTGCATGGTCGATTGAGTGCAGATAATGTCCTACTGGCTTTTGAGCGTTTTCACACAATGGAGCTAAAGAAGAAGGGGAAGGGAGGTTTTATAGAGGCAAAGCTTGACATTGCCAAAGCTTATGATTATAGGTGTCAATCGGGCGGGTTCGGGCGGGTTCGGGCTGGGTTCAATCGAGTTCGGGTTCAAACGGGTTGCGGGTTAGTCGGGTTGCGGGTTCATTGGGTTCGGGTTCATCGGGTTTGGGTTCAAACGGATTGCGGGTTAGTCGGTTCGCGGGTTCATCGGGTTCGGATTCAATCGGGTTGCGGGCAAATCGGGTTGCGGGTTCATCGGGTTTTGGGTCGGGCGGGTTGTGGGCGGGTCGGGTTTCGGGTTGTTCGGGCCAGCGCATCAAGTAACTTAACTCATTACTCATTACCAACTTACACATTTTATTACACTAATTTAAAATATTTTCTCAACGTTTTAACCAATTTATTTCTACCTCGTATATATATACTTTATTTTTTTGAAAAAAACTAGTCAAAATGTTAAATCAATTTGTATGACTTGCAAACTTGTTATGTAATTAATCATAATTGGTAAAGTATTATAGCTAATAGTAATGGTGATATCAATATTTGCTACCAAAAGACACCGTTAATTGTTTATTTAATATTTTAGTATCAATTCAGTAGTAATTGGATTAAAGTATCTCGTTTAGTATAACCATGCAAATCTGGTATTTGGCGTGTGGTATTTGGCAAAAGCATAGTGATAAAAGGAGTTATTTCAAAATAACTCATTGCCCAAATAACTTAAGTAAATTGTTGTCAAACGAGTTATTTGTAAAATAGTTCGAATTATCCTAAAAATTGAACCATTAAAGATTAACTATCAAATTTAGTAAAATTATTGTGACTTCAATCATAACTTACTCAATAGCATATATCCTATACACTTAGCTTTACCCTCAATCAACAATATTAAGTTAGTATATGTTGTTGATTGTATACCCTAAACCATCAATACATTATACACTAACCACATAACCTATACCCTAATCATATGTCCTTGAGTTGTGATTTTGCTAGTATAGTTAATTTAAAAGTGAAATTCGTACTTTGATTTTCAAAACATAGATAAAAAGTGATATTTGCTAATTGTTATACCCTAACCATATATCCTATACTTTACACCACATACCTTGTGCCCTAACCACGTACCATAAACATAAATTAAAAAGGATCTCCTGCCGTTAAAGACTTCAAATGACTTCAAGTGAACATATGCTAATAAAAAACTTAGAACCGTCAAAACCATCAATATCTTATACCCAAACCATATACACCCTAAACCATATGTACCTTATACCTTATACCCTAACCATATACTTTATATCCTAAACAACGAACCGTCAAAGATTACTTATCAAGTTTAGTATAAATTGTTGTAACTAATGATTAATTTATTTATTAGCCCATAAAAAATTACATACATATATACATATTAGCCTTCAAAGCATATAAGAATAATTTTAACTAGTCATGCCCTCCATATAAAAGTTAAAGATTCATATTTCAAAAGCTAAAATTATGAAAAACCAAAAAATTGAAAATACCAAATTTGTTTCTTTCTTTCTTTTCACAAAAATACTACAATTTACATCCTTCTTTCTCCTTCCATACATTAGAAAAACTCAATTTTCCCTCCTCTTTCTATTCCATAAAATTGAAAGAACCAAATTACTCTCTTCTTTCCTTCTACAAAAAGTTGAAAAGTCAAAAGTTCCCCTCCTTATTTCTCTTTCATAATCAAAAGAATCAAACTTTCCAACTTCTTTCTTTTCCCACATCAAAACCACCAAAATTCCCACTTGTTTCTTTTCTAAAAAATTCAAAGAACCAAATTTCCCTCTTCTTTCTCTTCCCAAAAACTTGAATACTATTCAACGAAAAAAAAAACTTGAATACACCAAAATTTCCCTCTTCTTTTAAAAACATCAAATTACCAAATACATTACTTTACTTTATTTATATTTAATTGATAATTTTATTGAATAGTTAAATTAACCAAAATTTTAATTTATATATTATATTAATATTGTCATGATCTCAAGTGACCTTCATGTTTCAATTTTTGTAATTTTCTTAAAATACGTAATATCAAGTGAGTTTCATATTTTTAAAATTTCATATACGAAATGAAAAAATAATTTTACTTAAGTTTAGAATGGAAAACTTTATTTTGAAAAACTATGTATTGTATATTTTTATAATTATTCAAGTGGATTAGATGAAATTCGGGTTGCGGGTCAGTCGGGTTGCGGGTCAATCGGGTTCGGGTTAATCGGGTTGCGGGTTAGTCGGGTTGCAGGTTAGTTCGGTTGCGGGTCAATCGGATTGCGGGTCGGGC